TGTGGCTCTTCCACAAAATACCACATGCGGGCGTGCACGTACAGTGCGACTGAAACTTCGTGGCCCATGCACAGAAGTTGGTATTTTGTGGAAGAGCCACACTCAAGGGGCCAAAGAGCCGCATGTGGCTCGCAAGTTGCGGTTTGTTGAGCCGCAGTTTGCCGACTACTGCTAGGCCAATTAAAGATGTGCAGGAATGGGGATCTGGGAATCTGTTGGGTGGATCTGTTTTCATAAGCTGACATAATACAATCTGATATGTCACTTTCTGGCATAAAAACTTTCAGTGGCTTCCCACTGCCAAAAGGACCAAGTCCAAAGTCTTTGGCATGGTAAACAGGCCCCTGTGAAATCTGATAATAGCCTAAATAGCCTACTTTGTTATCTCAGATGCATGCAACAGAGTCCCATTCCCTGGCCACACATCCTGTGATGTTTATACTGCCATCTCTTTTCATATGTTGCCCCCTATGCCAAGAATGTCTCCCTCCCCTCCTGGCCCAGAGCCTTCTTGCCAATAGAACAATTTAGGGTTTGTATCTTAAATACCAGCTCAAATGTCTCAACTCTGTGAACCCTACTCTGATTTCCCAAAGTAGGCTGGTGGCTTCCTCTTTAGGGTTGCCAGTACTTATCTCTATTCCTGCATTTATCACATTGACGCAAGTCTGAAAACTGCCTCAAGTCACAGCCCATGTGTTTTTTTTATCTGGATTCCTTTAGTATCTATTACAGCATCTAGCACTTAGTAGCTGTTTAATAAATGTGTGCTGAATGAATGAATGGGTGAAAGAACAGTCACCCACATTGTTGTAACTCCAAAGCATATGGAAAAGATTCTTAGGAAGGCTTGAATACAAACTAAGCCAATTTAGAGTCTTGAAACAATTTATGCAAATCTAGTTTAATATAGAATTAGTCTGAACTCAATGTTCTGATTTCTCCCTGGCAGGTTCCTCTCAACAGTGCTCTCTCTGTGTTATATAGGACATAAATGGAGGATGATTTCATAAAATAAATAAACTCTTATGTTTCTGGGTCCAGTTTAATCAAAAGATTGCAAACAGAACTGTCTATAATTGCTCATGTGAACGTTAAGGACCATCATGTAAATGTTATACATTAAAGGGGAAGATAAGAAATGTTACATTCAAAGAGAGTTAATGACATTGAGGGCATTCCTGTTTCAGGAAGAGATTGTGTTGTCTCTTAAAGTGAACACTGGGCCTGGTTTTGAGGGGCTCTAGGAAGAGTATACCAAAGGAAGCTTTTCTACTATAGAAAACATGCAAGTAAGTTGTAGCTCTGAGCTCTCCATTGAAAAGAAATTGTCTGAGCTAAGAATGTCCTTGTATCTCTAGTTTTACTTCCTGAAGTCAGTGCTCCTAACCTCAGAACCAGGCCCATTGTAAAGCTGAGTGTCTTCTGTATTCATCCACAGGGCTAAGCAGATTCATTCATAAAGGCTTTTCCTGGTGTGCGCCTTGTTCAACAATCACTGATTGGCCACCTAGTATAGCCAGACTGTGTGCATACAAAGATGTATAAGACTTGTCTTCTCCCTGCTCTCATATCAGTGAGAAACATATATGAACAAAGTTCTATGATGCAACATGCTCTATGCTGTAATGCTGATTTATATGAAGTATTGAGAGACCACACAAATTTCGTGAGCAATTACTCTGCTTGGAGGAAGTCAGGGAGCAGGTGAAGCTGGCATTGCTTCTTAAGAATTAGCAGGCATTCACAGAGAAAATGACATCAGCATTTTACACAGCAACACACTAAAAATATCTGTGAAATGAGTCAAGATCTATCTATCTATCATCTATCTAGTCTGCCTACTTACTTGTGAAATGAGTCAAGATCTATCTATCTATCTATCATCTATCTAGTCTGCCTACTTACCTGTCTTCTCTAGAAATGTTCATAGTACATGAAAATATTCCTTTAAAAATAAGCATACTTTTTTCAAATACTGAGGTATGAAAGTTACCTCTTGATTATTTCTTATGTGGTTGTTCGGTTCTTAACTTATCTAAGCCTTCTCCTCTCCTCTGTGGTTCAGGACTTTATTTCCTAGTCCATCACCCCTCTTACTCCAGAGTGGGAAGGGAAAGGCCCTGAAGTTCAAATCAGTTCTTTTTGCTACTTGTTCTAACCGCTGAATTTAGTACAACCCATTTTCTGTTCTCTCTGCAGCTAATAAACCAGGATTGAGCACCTAAAGATGATTTCTTGGACTAATATCATTTTAACACTTTAGGATTCTGACCATGACCTTGTTTAGTCAAGTTATATTCATTTACTTTGTTCAATGTCCACCCTAAGTCAATTTGCCTATTCTGCTTCCTTTTTTTCCTTCTTAAGTAGAAGATGAATTAAAGGATAAAATTTCTTACACCCAAAGAAGAACTAAAGCCCAAAGAAGAACAAGACACAAAAACTAGGATTTCAGAGGTTAGGGCCCTCTATTCACCAACAGATCACATTCATTTTAAACACATGTCGGACCCAAACGGTGAAAACCACCAAAGTGCATATTAGAAAAATTTCAGTGGATCCACTGTGGCACAGTAATGGCCACATAGAGTGAGATCCTAGGTCTGTCATAGGCAGAATGTGACAGAAACCTGGTTCAGATGTTCCTTAAACGTCAGTTTTTGCCAGTGGTGGGAAGGAATAAAAACGAAATAAAAGACAAGTACTGCAGAGCTGCTAATTAAAACAATTCAGAGAACATAAATGCTAGAGTAATTTTGGACCCACCAAATCAGGCTGGTTTCCATGCAAATGCAGCATTCCGATTTCTTCCTTCATTGGGAAGATATAATTAGCTCAGCTGCAACAGGGTGGAAGCCTTGAGGCAGCCGTTTTCATGATGGAAGAACAGCTGCCACCTGCCCCTGCTGCCCCAGATTGCACAGGGCTGTGGCCACCCCACAACGCTGCTCATGAGCCACTATGAGCAGAAGGCTTGGGCTGCCAGTGGGACTGGTTCTTGCTTAAAGACAAGGGGCATGTTACTCCTCAATAAATTTGACTCCAGGCCTAATCACCATCCTTCTATATAAGATACCCTTGGCTAACACGAAAATCCTCCCCCATTACTATGGTGGAAAGGGTATTTAACATAGCTAAGGGCCAGCCACATCAGCTACAGCAGCTTGTCACCTTGGAGGGTGAAGACCAGAGGAGAATAAGAAGAAAAGGTGTCTGCAAATGAGAAACCCGAACTGTAAGGAGAACACATTTCCCAGTTGCTATAACAGAGAAGATGAAGCGGCACCCTGGTGGGGAGGGGTTGAATGCCAAGCTTATAGATGATGCAACAGGTAAATAACTAATGTGAAAGCGAAAAGTGTTCTGGGAAACAGCTGCTGTGAGATGTTCTGGAGTTCACCTGCAAACACAGAGCAACAGCCTCTGCTTGTCTATCTGACAAACTCAATGGCATGGACTCCACTGATATGCTTTTGGTGTTTGTTTGTTTTTTGTTTAATTTTTTTGTTGATTTCAGAGAGGAAGGGAGAGAAAGATAGAAATATCAATGATGAGAGAGAATCATCGATCAGCTGCCTCCTGCACGCCCCCTCCTGGGGATCAGCCCACAACCTGGTCATGAACCCTGACCAGGAATCAAACGCTGACCTCCTGGTTCGTAAGTCGATGCTCAACCACTGAGCCACGCCAGCTGGGCTGCTTTTGATTTTTTCATAAGCAAAAAAAAAAAAATATTCTGCAAAGGAGTTCCATGATGATAAATACTTTCATGGAACCAAAAGGCAAACCATCATTTTGAAATTTTAGAGGTTACTTTTTTTGTTTTCCTAGGCTACTATCACATTGCCAGATCTTACATCCCTCACCACTTTTCCCACCTTAACTGAGCTAACATAAGGCTGGTTCTTTTCCTTCTCCTCAGCGGGAACAACAAACAACCAAGTGAACATTATTTCAAACCCTGCAGCTGCAACTGGTGGGGGGCAGGAGGACTGAATAAAGTGGCGCCAGAAGCACGTTTCTTAATGACTGGGAGAGTTCCAAGAACATTTAACAGATAAAGGAACTGGGAATTATTCTTTTCTCCAATCAATTCAGAAGGAAGTACTTCAGGAATATGTCATCTAAGTGGAGGGTTTTCTTTTTAACAAATGATAAAATATGGTATGTGACAAGTGACAGTGCTTTTATAATATATAAATGACCAAGACTAACTCCTTATATCCAATGTCGCTATTTGGCTAGTATTTTCCTTTTTCAGGTTTTTAAAAATTGGGATATAATTTATATACCATAATATTTACCTTTTAAATGTACACATTCAATGGTTTTTAGTTTATTTTCAAATACACTAAATGACCACTATACAATTCTAGAAAAATTTTATCATCCCATAAAGGAAGTCCATATCCACTAGCTGTCACTCCTCATTCTTCATTGCCCTAACCCCTGGCAACTACTAGTCTACCTTCTGTCCCTATAGATTTGCCTATTCTGGACATTTTATATAAATTGAAATCATATAATATGTGATCTTTTGTGCCTGGTTTCTTTTACTTTCCATAGTAATTTCAAGGTTCATCCATGTTGTAGCATGAATCAGTACTTCATTCCTTTTAATTAATAAATAATATTCCACTGTACAAACTATGAATTTTTGTTTATTTATCAATTGATGGACACTTAAATTATTTTCACTTTATAGCTATTATGAATAATGTTGTTATTTCCGCTGTGTACAAGTTTTTGTGTGAATATATGATTTCAATTCTCTTGGGTGTATACCTAGGAATGGAATTGCTGGGTTATATGGTGACTCTATGTTGAACATTTTGAAGAACTGCCAAACTGTTTTTCCAAAGCAGTTGCACCATTTTACATTCCCACCAGCAGTTTATAAGGGTTCCAATTTCTCCACATCCCCATTAACACTTGTTTTTGTCTGTCTTTTTATTACAGCCATCCCAGGGGGTATAAAGTGGTATCTCATTGTGGTTTTGATTTACATTTCCCGAATGACTAATGATATTGAGCATCAATTCATGTGCTTATTGGCCATTTGTGTATTTTCTTTGGAGACATCTCTACTTCAATCCTTTGCCAATTTTTTAATTGGGTGGATAATCGATTTGGATAATGATATAGTTGAAAACATTTATTGGGCACTTATTTTGTGCCAGACACTCTGAGACCTTGGTTAACTTCCTGCTAAAGAGAAAGCTGTTGCTTGGGCCATGTGTTTCTCCCTTAGATGCTCATCAAGCTCAGCAAAGCTTTCCCTTTGGGAAGCACCACTAAAGGGAACAGGGAGAGGCCCCTACCCCCACCTACCACCAAAGAAGCAGAGCTAACAGAGGAGATGCATCCATTGGTAATAACACCCCACTCCCCCATTTAAGATATCTATATCAAACTAGCCGTCCCTACTCAGGACAGGTGCTTTGAAGCTCCACTCTGAACACTTGAAGTTGAGACTATGCTCATGTTTTCTACAAATACGCTCAAGATAATCATTTTTAATTTTGGTCTCCACTCCTTGATATACAAAATGTGGACAATGCCTATGGAGGTGACAAAGGAAAAAAATAACACACCACAAAAAAATATCTACAGAAGAATATTCACCAAGGCCATAAACTCATTGTCTTAGACCAGTGAATTTCAAACTTGTTTGTCTCATGGCACACATAAACTAATTACTAAAATTCTGTTGCACACCAAAAATATATATTATATTCTTTTCCAATCTGACAAAAAAAGGTGTAATTTTGATTCATCATATCACATGGATATTGTTGTGTTGGCTGTTGTTAATTTTTATTTGACAATCTAAGGGAAAAGAGGTCAGTGCCTCTGACTACAGAGTCAGGTACTGCATATTTGAAAAGTTCTTGGGGCACTCCACTATGCTGTGTCACGAAGGTTGAAAATCGCTGTCTTAGACTAATTATAGCAAAGTTGGCTCAGCTAAAGTGCAGAGGCATTGGAGGTGAGAGAGGCCACAGTGAGAACTACAGGAAACAAACTGAGAAGGCTCCTCCTCATGAATAAATCAAGGGAAGAGTAAAGGCGAGGAGAGGCCTTGAGGCCACAGTGAAAACTACAGGAAACAGAGAAGGCTCCTCCTCACGAATAAATCAAGGGAAGAGTAAAGGCGAGGAGAGGCCTTTTCTTCACCAGCCCTACCTTATTATAAAGTTAGTCACATTATCCATTTTATCCTCTTAGGCCAGCGGTTCTCAACCTATGGGTCTCGACCCCTTTGGGGGTCGAACGACCCTTTCACAGGGGTCGCCTAAATACATCCTGCATATCAGATATTTACATTACGATTCATAACAGTAGCAACATTACAGTTATGAAGTAGCAATGAAAATAATTTTATGGTTGGGGGTCACCACAACATGAGGAACTGTATTAAAGGGTCGCGGCATTAGGAAGGTTGAGAACCACTGTCTTAGGCTATATACACACAGCGCATTTACTCCCTTTCCTTCCTATTCTCTTCTTCTACCCTTGAAATTCCAGAAAAACAAGAAAACAGAATTGAGGCTTTGAGGTGGTAGAACACCACCTGAACCTTTGCTTTCAGTATCAGGACTTTGAGGTTTCCAGAAGTATCCCTTTTCTCTCAGACCCAGGTCCCAAGATCTCAGTTAGCAAATCTAACATGCCAAAGGGGCCAATTGCTGGTAATCGGTGGATTTGAATGATTGTCTATAACTCAACCCCTTAGAGCTTCTGGACTGGGTGGGGGCTCTTCAGAAACCTGCAGGATGGTGCTTCTTGCATCTCACAGCGACACCATCAGCTAATCCACTTTCAACCAAGACGGTTCCGTGTGGGAACTTCCAAGGTCTGGGGTACCATTATTTCCATGAACAAGTTCATCTTCGGTCAAACCTCAAACAAAGCCTTCAGACATAATTTCACAGAATCAAGTGCAAACCTCAAAATCCTTTAACCCCATGCCCTTAGGAATTTCCCCAGGCCCTCAGGTTTCCCTGGTAAAATTCTCAGGCTGAGGATTGCCCTCATGGAGAGACCACACACCTGAAAGGTGTGGAAAGAACAGGAGAATGTTGTAGACCGAACTGTGCTCTCCTCAGTACCGCAGAATATGGCTGTACTTGGAGATGGGGCCTTAAGGAGGTGATTGAGTTAAAATGAGGCCCTAATCCAGTCTGACTGGTATTCACATAGAGGAAATTTAGCCACACGAAGACCCCAGGGGGTGCATGTACAGAGGAAAACCCGGGGAGGACACAGAGGAAAGGCACTGTCTGAAAGTCAAGAAGAGAAATAGAATAAATCAACCCTGCAGTCACCTTAATCTTGGACATTGAGAAAATAAACTTCAGTTGTTAAAACCACGTAGTCCATGGTATTTTGTTATGGCAGCCCAAGCAAATAATATAACCAGGCCCCGGGGGGTCCTGGGGGGTGCAGCCACTCACCCTATAGTAGTCAGTGCTGTACACGTCCCGGGACATGCCAAAGTCCCCGATTTTCACCAGGAGGTTCTCCCCGACCAGGCAGTTCCGGGTGGCCAGGTCTCGGTGCACGAAGTGCTGGGACGCCAGGTAGACCATGCCCGCTGCGATTTGCTGGGCAATGTGCAGCATCTGTGACTGCGTCAGCTCCGCCGGCGGGTTGCCTTCGGCCATCAACACGGCGTCAGGTCCGTGCGCCCTGCGGAGGACACAGAAGGAGTTGCTGGGGGAATTCTCTGCCTGGAGGGGCCCTTTGCCCCCATCAGCTCCTGGTGCTAAAAGACGCCGCCTGACTTAGCACGCAGAGGAGGAAAAGATGCTTCACCCACGGTTATACTTCAAAAGCACCCAGGCTTCCATTCCCACAGAGTCCAGAATCCCGGGGCCACGTGGGCCTGAGTGGTACCCCTCACCCCCAACATACAAACAGGTTCATGTTTTAGGGGCTTCAGAAGTAGTCCCCTGACTCTGAAAAGCAGTAGGTGGCTGAAGGAAAACAAACAAACAAGAACCCAACAACAAAATCACAATCAGGTGGGAGAGTTTGGCTCTTCTAGAGCAATGGATCATTGAGGCCACACCCTCCATCCCTCCCAGCCACATGCTGCAGCCCAGCAACCGCCCCCCCACACACACACACACACTCAGGGCAATCCCTCCAGAGTGCCCCACCAGGGCCAGAGCTGGCAACTCTGGTCTCCCCCATCCCACCTGCTCTGCAGCTGGGCATGGTTTCCAAGCTGCCCTCATCTTAGTAAGCCCAAGTCATCAGAATCCCAGGGCATCCTCAGCCTGGACATTCATTCCCCATGAACAGTGCCACCTCCTGTGCCCACCCTTCCCCCTGATCTCCAGCTCAAAGCACACACTGGCCACCACATAGGCAAAATTCTTTGAATCACAACACATTCATTCTTTTACTGGACAAGTTTTCTTCTTTATATATATATTTTGGGGGGGGGCGAGGGGGAAGAGTATGATTTTTTTTATCTTCTCTTTCTCCTATCGTTTCCCAGGAATGATTTAAGGCAGCAATTTTCAACCTTTTTCATCTCATGGCACACATAAACTAATTATTAAAATTCTGCAACGAACCGGAAAATATATATTTTTGCCGATCTGAAAAAAGAAATAGGTATAATTTTGACTCATTCACACCACATGGCTATTGTTGTGTTGGCTGTTGCTATTTTTTATTTGACAATGTAAGGGAAGTCAGTGCCTTTGACTAAATAATCAGGTATGCATGTTTTAAAAATTCTTGCTGCCCACCAGTGTGCCTGCCACGGTGGTTAAACATCGCTGATTTAAGGCATTGCAACACTGATAGGTGTTTCAGGGAGCGCCTCCGCTCTTAGGCTATGCAATCAGTACCTGCAGTCCCCATTCTAACCCTGCGCGGTGAGCCAACATCGGTGTCACTGCCCCTGGTGGCCTGAGGGGGCAAGGAATAAAGGCCTGGTCAAAGGGCTTCTTCCTCCCAAAGTCAATGCCAATGACATCTCGTTCCAGACACGTTGAAGAACTTAAAATAAATAATAGAGGATTTAAAATGAATTTTAAAGTGGTGAATGGACCTGCAGGATTCCAGAGCAGTATGAGGATTTGAAAATGAGAGAGCCAGGATTCTCCAACAACCCCCATCTGGTGTTGCCCCTCCCCTTACCCACCAGCTCCACCCCAGGTGG